TTTTTTTTTTTTTTTTTTTTTTTTAACATCCTTGCTGGGGAAAAGAGGGGATGCTGATAAGAGCAGACACCCCCTCTAATCTCCCCGCTCGCGTGATGGCTCTGTTCCATTGGTGGGGAGCTGCACCTGCTGGAAAACGGGTCCAGCGTCCCTTTACATCATGATCACTTGACGAGACACCGAACTACACATGCTGGGAACCGGGCCCAGCGTCCCTTCTGAAACGATCAGAGCATCCTTGTGCCTCTTCACCCTGAAAGGGCGCCAAAGTTTTAGAAAGCAAGTGTAAACCCCCTGAAGTGGGGCATAGCCCCCGGGTCGGTGCCCCAAATTGAGGAGCTTTACGGTGAGATCCCACTGGTAAAGAGGATTGTAGTATGTGTATGAATGTGGACGTGTTTGTGGACAGGTGCACAAATTGTGATTGATCTACTGTTCTGCATGTCTGCGTGGAACACGTCCAGATCCAGACACTTATTCCAATCCTCTTTGCCAGTGGGATCTGGCCCTTAGCTCTGATTTTGAGTATAGACTGGTCCGTGCCATCCGATCCCAGAATCTCACGGTCACAATGTCACCACGTTGAAAAATACTTGAAACAAAACCCCGAAAAATACTTGAAACAAGAACCCAAGGTCCAAAAAAAAAAAAAAGAAAAAAAAAAGGAAGTGAACGTCCACAAATGGCCAGGTGGAAAAGGGGGCGCCAGTTAGCGCTCGGTTCCACCGCCACTGGCTTTCAGCCGGTCTAGTCGCCCTTGCAACAGCCACCGAGGTTGACGATAGGGTTTGCATGCTTCACGTATGTCAGCTATGTCCGGCTACGTAGAAGGTTGTAGACTAGCCCACGAGACCACCATAGCCTTGAGCCTGGATACGCTCCAATTGGTCTAGATTATTCTAGACTGCATCAACAATAGGGTTAGTTCGTTTCTAACTATTATCCTAAGGAGTCCTACAGGAAACGTGAGGGCTACTGTGTTGGACCCAGGGTCGGGTTGGTAAGTCATCATGGACGTGGAGGAGACTCAACCTGAAAACGGCGGAGTCGTGGGGGAACATGAGCAACCTCACGAAGGCGATGTGGGAATGGTAGGAGCGGAGGAGGATACAGAGGCACCGGGCCAGCCAAGACCACAGATGGGTGGAGAGGACGAGGATACAAACAGAAATAGATCGGCCCCACCAGAGCATACCAATTATTGGCCGGAGGAGGAGCGGGTACGGAAAATGTTGGCGAAATGCTATGACGCAGGCATATTTCCCTCGGGCTGGGACATTGGCGAATTGAAGGAAGAGGGAACTAAAGCGCACTTCACCCTTAACCCC